TCATTAAAAAAGAAGAACAAAATATTTATTATTAAAAACTTACACAACTCGCACATTACTTTTTGATTAAAACAAGCCGTCAAAAAGAGTAAAAACTAACAGCTTAGATTTGTAAAGTGTAGGGATCTAGTGCATTTCGTCATTGAATAGGTGTCAAGTAAGTAAGTATCTGTAATACTGTAATTGATGTGTTACATATTTTAAATTCACTAATAAATCATTGATCATGACGAAAAAAAAATTTGAGCGAATACCATCTAAATTTTTAAAAACCATTGTTACCAAATAATTATTTTTATAATAATGAAATAATTATTTTCATAATAATATTACAATAATTGTATTAAATAAACAAACTAACCTTAAAATTGTAAAAATTGAAGCATTTTTTTTTCTACTATAAAAAACATCTTCAGATAAAAAAATAAAATAAAACACTTATCGTTATAAAATTGCTCGACTCAAAATTTAAAACATGGCATCTTTTATTTGTCTTAAATAATTATTTTTGTTCGCTAAGAGTTCTTCAAAATCTACTATTTAATTTAGAAGATTTAATTGTTATAATAATAGTTGTATTGAAAAAACGTCCTTCACCACAAAAAAGTTCTTTTTAATTTTTGTAATGTAAAACTGTACTTCAATTATATAGGAGACTGTCATAGATTTCCACCAGTCGACATCTCCTTTGTTCCATTGGTTGACCTGATGTGTTATTTTTACTCGAAATGTAATCTAATTGGTGTGTCGGGTTTTCTGACGATAAGAATATTAAAATTTAAAACCGGATTTGTTTTGACGCATGTCAATGGTGTACTTTATACTATCTCGTTGACATTTTTTTTATGAACCTCTTACTGTAATACAATAAATTACATAAACATTTTCAAAATCAATATCAAAATGAAGAAACAAAATAATTATTTGTCATAGTCATTACAAGAAATTATATATTATTACGTAAATGTTAACATCATGTACATTTATCTACAACATGTAATACATTATATGTTGATATGTAATCTTGTAAAGGATATTTTTTAAAGTATCCAAGTATCTCAGTTACAATATATATATTATACTTATTTCTCAAATGTATTTAAATTTAATTCGAATACGAGTACTCAGTTATAAAATTATACGACTGCAGGATTAAACCTTAAAGTTGTTTAATTAAAAAATATACAAAAACCAATATTAGTGGAAATTAAAAGGCTAATTAATCAGCATTTTAATAATCTCTGTAATAATCAAAATATCATGATCAATAATCCTACTATTTTTTTTCAACTCAGATATATCATAGAAATAAAAAACTCAGACAAACATATTAAATTACATTCTTTTTAAGTAAAAATCAATTTTATTAAATAAATAAAATAACCCATCTCTCACCAATCTACTCGTATACTTAAAATCTTGAATTCGAGATAATATGGTCTATCTATGTCTATTTCGTGTTATATGTTAAAGACTAAATGGAACCCGATTCTAGAATACTTTTAATCTTAGACTAAGCATAATATAGTCTGCGCTATGTTATTCGTTTGATCAACAAGATCAACATTTATACTAATTTTAATCTCACAATTGCATCCTTCTTTTACACACACTAATTTATATTAGTATTAGAATATCAATTGTACACGAAACTTTTTAATTTACATAGTATGTAGTCAAGCACGGCGCCAAGGGGGGCAAGGTGGGGCTCTAGCCCTCCAGAAAACAATTCAGCCTTTTCGCCAGCCCCCCTACTAAAAAATATGTACGGTATAATAAATTCATAAAACATTATTTTTAAAAGAGTTACATAAGAGAGTTTATGAAATGTGCTTTTTAAAAATTAGTAATATTAAGTAAATACTTTCGTATTTTTGAAGATATGTGTTTCAAGTTTTTGCTGTTATAAAAACCAATTTAATAATATTAATATTTTATACACAAAAACCGAAGAATATTATTAACTTAATTTAATGTTTGTTGTATACAGATAAAAATATTTTTAGTTTACTTATTATTTTTAATATGTTTAATTAATACACTAATATTGTGTAAGAAGTTTTTTAATAATTAATAAAAAAAAAAATTTCTTTAAGTATTTACATTTTAATATATATCCATGAACTATTTTAACCTCCAAAATTCAACAAAAAATACAAAGTAGATTCTTTAATACATAATATACTATGCAAATACCAATTTAAAAATGTATTGAACTAAAAACTTGAAATTTACTAGTTAACTATTAGGTAAATAATCACAAATTTTTATTTAAAAAAATATTATTCCTACTGGTATTGATGCAATTTTATACATTTTTGCTAACTATTTTAACGTTTTAAGATTTTTCAATCATTTAGTATTTGGTGCATAAACAAATATTGTATTAAATATTAATATTTAGTTTATTTAATATATTTGTCACTTCTAAATAAATTGAATTTAATATAGATTATAATTTATAATAATTTAATTAATTAATTTTGAACAAATAACATCTTCAGTTTTTTACAGTGGATTAACCTACTAGTATCATCTAATAAAGAAAAAATCTACTACAATTTTAATAAAATATGTTTTGAAATTTTTAAATAAGAAAAAAATCTTTTATGTATTTATTATTACCTACCTTTATTGAGTACCAATCACTGGATGAAAATAAATAAACAAAAGTATCCCAAGTCATTGCATTAAAAGTTGAGTAAAACAAATTCATCTGTTCATAACTAAACACAATTAATTTAATTTATATTTATGAATTGTAAGTAAAAGAAACATAATTATCCACTCACAAAGGTATGTAATAAAGAAATTATCATTTTTTTACATCATTATTAGTATAGTTGTTGAAGGTCTGTGATCTGACATTTTCATACATAAGGTACATAAAAAAATTTTATATTTTATTGATGTGTAAACATCTATGCATTCGGTTTGTAATACGACCTTCTTGGGGAATCGAGCTTCAGGCGTAAGTCATGTAGATGTGACTGCTTGAATGTGTGTATGTGAGGCTATTGCGCACGGTATTCGCGTAGGCTACCCAACATACATAATATAATACAAAATAATAATATAATATATATATTTATAATATTATATATAAAGAGATACGCCGGTTTCTATAAACATTATTTATTTGTTTATCGGAGTTACGACTAATGCGTATCAACTAACACCGGTTTTATGGAAAAAAACACACTTAAATATTATGATTATGATACCAATCGACGCGCATTTTTTTTTCCATTGAATGACGTGAAAAAAATGAAATTTGAATTTTTTGGAGTTACACCGTTTGCTAAATAGGCTGATGATATATAATATATCATAATTAATAATATATAATAAATAATTAAAATATGTATAAATTATATATAATAATAAAAAAAATATATATAAATAAAAATCAAAAAGTTAAATATAAATTTTAAAGAGAACGCGATCTTGTATGATTATTGTTACCTTATTATACAAATTCCCACTCAAACCATGACATTATATTCCTCAATCAAAGTCGTACTGCAGCTAAGATGTTTACACATCATTCGTGAGTACAAAGGCACTCACATAGGTTTTTTAATTAACCTCAGTATTTGTTGAAAAAACCTTAGCCCATGTAAAAAAAAATATTTGCCCCCCCCCCCCCCCCCCCCCCGGAAAAAAGATTTTAGTGCCGTGCTTGTATGTAGTAAAGTATGTACTTTTAAATTTGTGTGTAGGTACTTACAAGTTAGGGTGCTGTTGTTTCACTAAATCATCGAGGTGTCTCGTTACTATGGCCAACAAATATTATACTTTATTAATTTCATAATCCCTTCTTAAAATGTATTTAAACCATCAACATTCAATAAAATAATAAAAATAATAATATTAATTTATATGGAATCCAAATACAAAGTGAACGACCATTTTTTTTTCATCTTTTGGAATAATTTAGAACTAGTCTCCTCTATAAAATATATGTGTTATTGAAATATTACATTACCTATCAAAAAATATTATCATAGTCTATTATTTTACAGGTTTATGTAGCAAAATCTCTATTTTTTATTTCTATATTTTTTCTACATTCAATGCAATCTGCAAAAGCACCAAACCCGTTAATAAACTTTAGCTCATTTCACTTCTTTTCCAAGGTTTCAAGTACAAGAATATAAATCAATCAAAATAAAGAGAAGCATACTTTAAAATTAATGTAAAAGCATATAATTTAATATATAAAATATTGTTATAACATTTAATACTAAGTACAATTATAGTATATTTATTAATTTTATAAATACTATGTTTAATTATGCAATTATGTCTAAATTGTAAATTTAATATAAGATAGTAAAAATGTTCCATAATTGTGCTAAGCAGCTATCAAATATTAGCAAAAAAAAAAAAAAAAAATCACATTATACTAAAACAAAATTGTAACGATAAATAAAATTAATAAAGTTACATTTCAGTATAGTTCAAATATGTTAAAAATACAAAAAGTCATGATTACTCTCAGAAATACAACTAGGAATAATTATTATCAATAATAATTGTTATAATCTCTCAAAGAGTGTATCGACCACGATTGTAGCAACTACTACATATGTTTGAGGCGCAAATTGCGATTATAGTTAGGTATATACTTTTATATTCTTTAAGTTTATATGATCGCGAATATGTATTTATGATAACAAGATATTGGGACTCCATCGCAATTAAAGATATAACTTTAATCAAGGACTTATCGACATGAAAAAAATTCAAGTAATTTTCTCTATATTGAAAATGAAAATTATGCACTTATTTTTATACCATATTGTAGATTTTTACATGTGATATGTATGCTATTCTTCTTATAAAATAATATAAGCAAACATTCTTTGAAAAAAAGATATTACTTATACATATATATGAATATATATATTATGTTTTTGTTTTATTACAGTATTCAAAATAGATTAGACTTGTTAAACTTTGAAATTCTAACATTATTAATTCAATTTTACTTTAAGGTATTACTAGGTGGTGGCAGAAGACACTGGTTGCCAAAAGTAGCACAAGATCCAGAACAACCAACTGACGAAGGTAGACGATTAGACGGCCGGAATTTGATAGACGATTGGATTAGAGATAAAAAGAAACGAAACATTAAAGCCGAATATGTGTGGAATAATAGTCAGCTAGACAAAATCGACGCAAAAAATGTTGATTATCTTTTAGGTAAGTCCAATTTAAGTTATTTAAATTTTATTAAAAAAAAAGTTCATTACAAAAATTTAATTAAATCAATAGTTATATAACATTATATAACACAGGAGTGTCAAAATCTTCCCAAATATATACTATCCAGGGCCCAGGCTTTTCGGTCAGTCTCTCTTTGCCAAATAAGATCTGCATCATGATACTTCACAAAACTCTCATTAAACATAGGCTAAAAAATTAAAACAGTTTATACCTAAAAATTATTTCAAAAAATTCCACACCAAATCAATCAACCACACAAATCCACTAGTATTAACTTAGCCAGTAAGTTCAACCTAAATAACCCCAAAATTCAACTAAAAAAAGACTATTAATGATATCTTTTGAATTCCGGCCTATATTAATTAACTTAACTAAACTTCTCTCCCAGCAAGTTGGAGAATTTCCACACTAGTGAGTCTCCCACCTCACATTATTTCATGTTGTTATCTCAGTCAAGTTACCAAATTTAATTATTGTATAAAATAATATTACATACTGTAAGTAAACTTTTGCTTAAAATAATAAAAAAAAAAAAAACACGGAAATTAAATGAATAAAAATATAGCCAATTTTGGTTGCGAAATTAAAATTTTAATAATAAGGGTATCAAGGTATCATAATCTATCAACTAATTAACTATTTATTATAAAAACAAACGCTTTGTCCACAAATTATTTTATTTAATTTCTATGTTTTTAAATATTTTATATGATAAATTAAATATTGTTTTTGCCTTTAAATAAATTAATTGTGTATTTTTAGTTTATGATTAATTGATTTAATTGTAGACATTTGTATATTTTGTTGATTATATTAACAACTTCTCTTTATAATTACATTATAAAATATTACTCATTTCATATTATTAAACAGCTGTCTATTGTAAAACATTAAATTAAACAACAAATAATAGACTGACAATACTTTAAATGACTACGATAAAATGGAATGAAAAGTAAAGAAAAAATTTGATAAAAGATTTTCAAAATATTTTTTTTTTTTTTTTTGAGCTTTATTTAAAATATAATTACAATTTATACAACAATTTAGTACAATAAGTAATTTAGATATAGTATTTACATATCGAGAGTAACAGATGGGGTAGGGCACTCAGTAGTGCCACTCGACAGGTTAGGTTAAAGCTATTTATACCATTTACACCATTCTACAACTCTTCGATGTCAACTTATGAGTTATTAACAGCAGCTACAAATAATTTATGAAATAATATTACAATAATTATTTTATTATATAAGCGATTGATTTTTGGTAAAAAATAGTTTTAGCTTAAGTATTAAAATAGAAAAATTAATTACATATTGGCGATTGCAATACAAATATGTAATAAAAAATTCTTAGAAATATAAGTTCAGGTATTCAGGTAGAATCATTTTTCATATACAATTATTTATTATAATATTAATTCTAAAGTAACCATTCATTTCTATAAACTCATATGACTCAATGACAATGTATACTTGATACTTACTATAAAGCCGAGTAACTTCTAAGGTATTTTTTTTATTTTGCGTAGAATCAGATTAGTTTAAGAATGATTTTTGTGTTTTAAATAAATACTATACAATATACTGATATACTGTATCTATCATTTCTCAATAGAATATAAATCAGCTTCAATTTTCAACATTAATGGAAGTTTCTGGTAGAAAATTTGATTTTTTTTCAACACTTTGGGGATGCAAAAAAAATAAAGCTCCGTTAATAATTGAGAAAAGTATCATAAAAATAGCGGTAAAGTAGATACATTTTTATAGCATCTGTTTCAATGATTAATTATTTTGGATCCTTTTAAATAATTTACGAGTATAGGTTCACAAATTTTATTATTTTTTATTTGTTTATCTTCAATGAAATTTTTAATTAAATGTATAATTTCAAATGTAATGCTTAATATATTATGATAAGTATTATAATATTTATATTTTATACAAAATTTCTCATAATTTTTTATATAAATTTAAAGTTTATGTACGTCGTTAAAATTTAATGTGTTTTGTACTTCTTAAAGATCAACATTGAAAATTCCCTGTACTTTTTTTTTATAATTGGAAATAACAAAACAAAAATAAGGAAAAAATGGAATTTTTACACAAATATCCAATTTTTGAGAAAATTAATTTTGTTTTTTTGATGTAACTCAAAAAAAAAAAAAAAAATAATAAAGTAGGTAGATACTTGAAATTTTTTTAAGCCACAAAAATAATATTATTTCAAAATTACTTCTATAATATTACAAGAATATTACTTGATTGTTACTTTAATATCAAAATAATTATTAAAATATTTGATAAAAGTTTCAACAATATTTCAATTAAATATTCACAGAACCTTAACTTTACCAAAATATTTGTTATATACATTTTATTGTAAATCATGCGCAGTATAAAATAAAATGTACTTCTATGTATTATCACTACAATTTTCTATGATGTTAATTTATTTATTTCATTTAAAATATTCTTCCTTTTTATTAGATCTCAATCGGCATTATAGTTTTAAATATTTTTTAATAACTAAATTATAAAAGCACGTAGCATGAAATGAAAAAAATTAGTTTCTTCTATTATTTTAACATCCTTAAAATTGAAAATTATACTAAATAATATATAATATAAATACTTATCATTTTAAAATTATTTAAATTATTTCTTATTAGAAATCATATGTTCCTCTTCCTCGAATTGTCTTATAGTTTTTATTCTGAATGGGACGCAAGAAAGTCCTGTTCTTAAAGGAATATCAATCTCCTTCTCTGTGTTATGTTTGTATTTCAGATGTTTTCTCAATGCATCAGAAACATAATATTATTATGTTTATAAAAGAATAAACATTTTAAATTTATTAAAAATAAATAAAATAGAATGTATCAAAGTTAATTATAAAATAAATATTAAATATTTTTAAAACAAGTTTAATTTATTATATTTGAAATCAATAATTTTAATAAAATATTAAAATTTCATACTTGAGTTAACTAAGTCTAATATAATCAGTATAATATAATACAATATTATTATTAAAATACATTCCTTACCTATAGTCAAATGGTAACTTGATAAACATGTAATTTTTTTTTTTTTAAGTCATACAGTAAATAATTTGATAGAAATGCGCACCATAAGTCTCCTAATACTACTTCTAAGATCTTTATTATCAACTAGTAATGCAATTTTACACACCTAAAAATAGTGAGATATAATAATCAATATATAAAATATTACCAAAGATATTCTAAAATCAAAATATTTTAATTTATCTTCAAATACTTGCAAATTTTCTTCATTTTATAATCGGAAATAACACATCCATATTTACATGATCATCGTCTGTATGAATAACTGTAATTGTTTTTTCATGAATATTTCAATATTATCATTAGTAGTAAATCACACGAAAATTAAACATTGTATTTAATATTTTTTAAAGGTACAATAAAAAGACTTTTCAAAAATCAAAATTTAAGTTTAAAGCATTAATTATTAATAATGATGGTAAAATGGAGAAATATTATATTTAACGTTATTTCAGTAGCATTATTGAGAATATTTTATGAATAGCTCACGAAAAAATTATTATTTAAAGAGAGCAGTTTCTCTAAATATATATTAAAACAATATTTATAGTCACTTTTAAATATTAAGCATTAATGTTACTAAAAAAAAAAAAAAAAAAAAAATGTAACAAAGGGTAAGCTAATAATATATACCTTAATGTAAAGTTTATTGCCATTATTCTATATTAATTTAATTCTAAATTAGTTAATCACAAATATATACAGCATAATATTGGAGAACAGAAGAATTTATACGTGGTACATAATTATTATAGATTCCTTATACCTAAGCATCATAATTTTACTATAGCCTCGTATAAAACGTTATATTTATATAATATTCAAAAATCATTAGATACATACCTTTTAGAGATGTTCATATTTTCAATTGTTGAACTATAATTTATTTATAACTTAATGTTATATAACCATATGTTACACTACCAAAAATATATTTTTCATTTGTAATATTAGTGTATTTTGGTGATTTCTCATAGTTGACTGAATTTTAAAATATAAACTTTATTATTCAAATATTCATCTTCAATGGGATACACCTTATGCATGAATAAAATCCATTATGGCCTTTGGCTTTTAAAATAAAAGATTTTTCTGATATATCACAACAGAAAACCGGAATTAAAACACTAATTCTAGTGTTATGAATTATAATTTCATATAAAGTAAGATCCTTAGTTTCTTTCATTAAATCTGACAAATAATCATTGCTATCGAGTGGTTTTTTTTTTTTTTTTTTTTTTTTTTAATAGAATAGATCAACTAGAAAAACAACTTTAGTTAATAATGTAACTTCTTCTATAATATTACGCAAGTATAAGCCCAAACTGACTGTTATTACTTTTAGTCAGTGGTAATCCGTCAACACCTATGACAACCTAAATTTTGTTAATATTTGGTGAAACATGCCTTAGAATTCCGTTAACCAAACCAAAGTGGTGATATATTCTAGCTTTAACAGTACGAATTTTTTTAGAAATATTAGATGAAATTTTTAATTATGTATATGCATCAGATGAAAGATTTTTTAGACTATTAATACTGTATTGGTAATTTTTTAAACTTTTAAATAACCTATTTACTGCATTTTGAGAAATTTTAAACTCTATTGCCCAATTAGTTAAAAATGCAATAATAGTCAATATTTGTAGTGATTAAGTTGATAAATCTGATATTGAGCAAGTCACTACTAAAATAATGTTTTCCAAGAAATCGTCACGAATTTTAAAAATTGACTAAGAAACTATAATAGTTGATACTACAGAATCATTATTTCCAAATACAGCATTACGATTTTGAAATAGTATATTTGTTTTTTTAATATGTTCATATTTTTTCCTTCATATAGAACAACATTTTGCCTTTCAGATAACTTAGAAGCATTTTCACCTAATTCACATTTTGAATACATTTCCTCAGATAAATGAATTTCTTGTCTAGTTTATCTTCTTATTACTCAACTACTTTTAATCGTTATTTTTAATTTGTATCTAGTTAATGACTATTCAAACACATTAATAAATAATGAATTCAATATAAATATTTGTAACCAAAGAAAAACCAATAATTAAACAGTAATAGTTGTAATTATAATTGATTTTCTATTTTTTTTTTTTTTTTTTATAAATTAAGACTAAAACTTATTTTCCGGGTAGAAATTCTTGAAAATTTAATGTAAAAAAGTTTTTTAATAAATTTTCAACTTTAATACAAAATTATATAATTCACAAGAAAGATTAATTATTTTTTTATAGAAATTTCAACTTCAAAGTTTTACGACATTGGATATATATTGGATCCGTAAAATAATTATTTCTCCTCAAAAAATGTTTAATATTTTATATTTTTTAAAAAAAACAGTAATAATAAATATTTGAAAATGATATTTTTATATTACCATTTTTATTATTTAATGAAATTTTCAAAGTTGTTTTCTTAATTTATTTATAGACATAATAAATTTTCATTTTTTTATTTAAGTTTTTAATTTTTATAAATTTCGAAAAAAATGTATATGCTAGGTCAAAGTTTTTGAAAATTTAATACAAGGTTTCATGCAATTTTTTATATCTGTGTAAAAATATTAAAAATACAAAGACACAATTTTATTTACATGCACAAAAAAATTCATCAAAATCTAAGAACAAAATTACTTATTTATAAGATAAATAACGGTATTAATTATTTTGATATACTTTAAAAACATTATTCTCAGAAAATTAAGACTTTTACTTATATTATATCATTATGAATTATTTTACTAAATGCAATGATGTTTTTATTTATTAGTTATGATATTTTTAATGTTTTACAATATTTACGGAAAGATGTAATAATATTCTAAGTTTTATAAATTCATGTAATTTGTTATAAATGTGTATTATTATAATAATTAAATACTAATAAAATAATAAATGCAATATTTTCAATCTATCGTAATATTAAACGTAAAATAAATTAATAGTAGCTGTGTATATCTAAAAACATATCATGAAATATAGTTTGTAATATAGGTTGTCAGACTATCTCCGTTTTAAATCATTTTTATATTTAATGATATATTATTAAATTCAAATTTAACACACCCATAATATAACCTACTTGACACCTAATGTATAAAAAAGCGATACCCACTTATCTACCTTTTTTATTTAAAAAAAATTAACAATCCATGCATTTATAGAATGATTAGAAAATATGATAGTAGAATATTATAATATACCTACAATCAACACGAATAGTATCACGAAGTTTCTGTTATGACATTTTCAAAAATACAGACTAATTGTATGCTATTTATATAAATATAAATATTTTTATTGTTTATTTTTTCAGATATAATATTTTGTAATAATAAAACTCAGAAAAAAATGTTAACTTTAAACATAAATTATTCTTGGAAATAAATATTATTCCATCCATCTTTTTCAATCAAAGTAGTATTTTTCAACGTTGATTTGTCATTTAATTCGAATTTAACACATTGTTCGCTAAGTTCTACTTAATAATGAAGTACATTCAAAACTTATATATTAGCACAAGTTCTACCATATATATTAATAATACCCTTATTAGTACCTTTAAAGACATAACAATGAACACAAGATTATTACTCAGAATAATTTATTATTTTATGAATCTTGATATAAATGTACATTAAATAAGTTTAAAAATATTTATTATAAAATAAACACAAATCCCGTCAATTAGAAAATTTAATATAGATAAGAAGAATAAAGAATATCTCAATGAGTCATATCACTAACAAATTTACCCTTTGATACATTACTACTTCTACTTTCATTAAAAATAAAATTAATAATAGTTTTTCATTATTATTATTATTATTATTATTATTATTATTACTTTTTTTCTGGATGTAAAAAAAAAAAATTAATAAAAAAAAAAATAAAAAACGTAAACAGATCGTCTATATTGGAACATCTGCGTGATTTTCACACACTGGTGCAGGATAGACAATTAGTTTATAACTATTATTATTATTATATTCTGATATTAAGTTTATAAACGAAATCACATTTTAAAAACAATTTTGAATCGGTTAATAATACTTAAAACCACATTTTCCATTATATATTTCTGTTGTTAGAAGTTTTTGTTTATGATTATAGGAACTATTGAGAAAACTGAAAAAGATTCGATTTCCGAATGCCGTAACATGAAACTTTTTAAACACTAACACCCTAAAGATAAAAATAAACATTTTTTACGACCAATATATTATCGATTAGACTAGAAATTTCAAACGGTTTCCTCTTCTAGAATTTAGATAAACTTATAGGGAACTTTCAAACCCAGACAAATAATAAATTAAATTATTTGATTATTCAAATTTGATTGTACCTAAAATGTATTATTGAGACACAGTACTAAGTATTTAAGCTACATTAACCTTCATACGCCATACTAATGTATAATTAGGTATCTTACGTATTATAATTTAAAAACGTTTTTAATATTACTATACAATTATTTATGTTGGAACAAATAAAAATAAAAATATTTTTTTTAAATTCAATATGTTCAAATATACACGTTAAAATGTTTTTGATTCACGCATCATATCATACATAAGTTTGAGAAATAAAAAAAAAAAAAAAAAATTATCATAAATTATTTTTCGAATTAATACCAATAGATTGAAAACACAATAAGCACGTGATATAGTTTGTTATTTTTATATTTATAAGTTTTTATTATTTTTAATATTACAGAATTGAATTTATTATAATTGTTTTAAAATTACTTATTAGGCGCTAATAAATACTACTAAATATCATAAATTATTTTATTATGATAAAATCACTCAAAACATTAAAAAAATATTAATTTGTTTTATTAGAGAAATTGTTACACTTATTATAATCTTATTATTACAAGTAAATTATGTTTTTAGTGCAGACAATAAAATAATATAATAGTACATACATTTTATTGGATGTTCTGTATAATTATGTTAAAATGGGTTAGTATTTCATGTACTCATATGCGTGTACAACGTTGTATGTATAAAATACATACATGAGATCATGTATGAATGTTTGATGTACGTAATAATAATAATAATAATAATAATAATAAGCATTTAACTACGTAAACGCACAAAGTAGTTTCTGGTTATATTTTTTACGTAAATTTACAGTCTAAATTTTTTACTTCATATTTTGAATAGATTTTTTTTGATTTTCTCTCATATATTTTATCATATGATATACATTAATTCGAACAAAATTGTCTAGACTAGGTAGATAGATTAGATTGTTAAAAATATCTAACTAGATATAGTTAAGTAGTTACTTACAATATATAAAAAAAAAATAGATATGTCTTTAATTAATTATGAGACCATGTATAATTTTATCAAAACATTTTAATAACTTATATTTTTATTTTATAGTGAATAAATGAATAAAAAAACTAATATTTAATGTTAAATTAATAACATAATTTTTATTGAATTAGTCATTAAAAATACTATTTTCGATAAATGGATTACTGAAATATTTGAACTTATTAAAATATAACATTAAATAGGTACCTAGATAGCAGTAGTAAAGACAAATTTTATTCTATATTTATATTGTAGTTTTTATACAGTTATTATTTTTCTTCCAAAAACCCATCTCACAAATAGTAGTTTATTAGCTAAGGTTTTTTATTTTTATTTTTTTGTCGGTTTCCGTTAAATTGTATAATTAAATCAAACATTGTATTTTAAAGTTGATTAAAATCTTAATATTGGAGATAATTTTGAAATAGAAAACTTTTTGGTAATTTTGATAAAAATACATATTGCATTGTTCTCACGAACTATGTGAAATTTAACACCATGAGAGAATCTTAATGGGGTGGTTTTTTTTTCATTAGTACTTTTGGAAGGGAATTTTTTGGAAACGATTCAAGAACAAACTGGAATTGTGGCAAAACCGGTGTCTCGTGACGATCCTCGATTGGCTGTGAGCCCAAAATATCGGCTGTTGAAATACATAATGTCTTTGATACAAAACCGGCAAGCAAAGTCAAATAAAAAAAATCGTGTTTATATGTGTATTAGGTTTGTTTGCGTATTCGCACATGGAGTTTGAGGTAGACCGAGACAAAGGACAAAATGGTGACCCACCACTACATGAGATGGCCGTCAAAGCATTATCCATACTCCAGAAGAACAACAAAGGATTTTTTCTATTTGTTGAAAGTAAGTATATTTTGAAGATTCACATGTTTGAGTATAATCATAGGTATGCTTATATCGATCATAATAATTATTTATGCCAAATAATAATTTTATAATTATCATTTATAATCTAAAATGTATGCTTAAGAAATACTATGATAATTGTAATAAATATACTATTTTTAGAATTTAAATATATCATCAAAATACTTACCAAAACATTTATATAATCAAATTCTTCGAGTTAAGGTCCGTAGTGTAATTGAATGTATCAGTTCTATAAACCAAAAAGCCGAAAAAATCTTTTGAGTATACCTATCTATTACACCACCCTCCTGCCGTTTAAAGTATCATATTGGATTATCTTAATTTTAAGTGCCTACTTGTTACACTACGAAAACGTTATTTAATCTGTAATGTGAGCTGCTTTTAAATACATCTTAAATATTTATTAATAATAATTATGTTCATTCTACTTAATATTATATTACCTTAAGTAATATGATTATTTACAAGTGAATATCATGATTTTATAATAGATTTAATTATACAATTTCACCAAATGATTATACTTAATTACTTAGATAAATAATGTAAATATATAAATATAAGTGGTATTTCCATTAATAAAAAAATTGTTCATTTCACTGATGTAATATTAGTTTTTAAATTTGTGTTTATTTGTGTTTTTAAATTTAACATAATATTGAAAATCATAAAAGTTCAAATATCAACTAAATAATCTATAATTTTAAATACTTACATATTATGTTTGTAATATTTGTATCATTTTATACAGTTTGATAATTATTTAAATTCAAATTATGGAACACAATAGCCACCAAAATATATAACATTGAACGTTTAAATTAAGCTAATATATAATTATTGTACTAAACATATGTTTTAATTTTGAAACATTAATAAAGCTAATTAAAATAAAATATAGTTTTTTCTTTTTTAATAAAGCTTCACCATATGTTTAAAATTAAAGTCTATACATGTTAATTATTCAGTTTTCACCATGTCTAAATGAAATAAATTGCCCTTTCTCTAAATTACATTATAACCTAATTTTGTTACAACATAAAAACAAAATATAAGAGCTCTCGTTTCACTGAAGTGTGCGTATAATGGAACAAAAAGGTAATCTGTATATATACGTTTTATTACTTGTATGTGAATCAGCTTAATATACAAAAAAAAAAATATAATTTATTCTGTCAAATTACTAAATTCTTATTACCTTCATATCCTGACATTTAGCTCCCTTATAAGGTAGAAGCTCTTAAGGAAAATAACACCAATAACTTATCCAAATTACATTTCAATAATTCAGTTATCATAAATTCACCCACCACGTAACCACGATAAAAAATGAAAACATTTTTTTATTAATATATATATATGCCCAACTATAAACAAGATAAAGAGTCAAATGGTTTCTTCAAAATAAAAAAAATCTTTCTGCTTCTGTTTATAAAATCAAAATGTAGGTTATCATTTAAGAGAGTACAAAATTAAAAATAATATAGCAATAAAAAATATTGAAAAATTCGACTGGAAATTAAGTAAAAAAAATATTTTCAAAAACTAATATATTTTGAAATAATAAGTGCCGTTTGGTAAAAGAATCACTCAGTATAGGCAAAAACTATATATTTACATATCGGCTAATATTATAACTACTTATTAACTCCTTCATTATTATCTCTATAAAAATATTTTTACGTTAACAGAATTTATTAATTTGTATAAACTGTAAATGATCATCATTAATATAACTTGTTTAACAGAAGAGTCTTAGCGCATACTTAAATTTATCGATAATTCTCATAGAAAGTTCTACACAACTGGAAAATTATTTAAATGATATTTTCACTTTTTAAGCTATCCGTCAATAATTTTCTTTTGAATAAGGAGGATAAAAATATTAAAAATAGACCTATAAAGTGCACTAAAATAAAAAATATGATGATCAATTAACCTATTTTAAATATTATCATATGAGAACACTATTAAAATCATCGATATATTCAAAAAAATTTCAGTCAAAGACAATGGCACTAATTTTTTTTATTATTTTAACCATTATTAAATGAAAAAAAAAATGTGTTTAATAATCTTATTATTTGAATATACCTAAATGATTATATTTAGTTATAATTTTAAGCAATAATTTTAAATAAAAAACTTAAAAACTGAAAAGAATCTTTCCTACTATTATTGCTTTAAAACTCGGTTAAGTTATATGAACTTATTTAGATAACATCTAACTTAAAAATCCCAATTATACCAATAAACGATAAAATATACGAAAATAACACTACACGACAAATATAAGTTTAAACTAGGGGTCTCTTTTCCGCGTGTATTTAAGAACACGTATGTACGTATTTTAATTAAAACTATGTTAAAGTGCATGTAATCAAAATACACGTATACACGTGTACTTAAAGTCACGTATACTTGTGTAGTGTGTAAATGTGTATTAAAAGTCTGTATAACCGTCCTACAGACTTATGACTGTCAGAAGCACAGTACTCGTATAACTATCGGTAGATAAAAAATGTGGTTTTTTTGAAATTAGGAGTAGGTATTTAAATTAAATAAGTATAAAAAATTAAATTAATATTTAAAAAATTATAAGACGTAAAAACATAATTTTCCTTCCCGTAAACAAATTAAAAGTATAATATGCTTAAAAGTTACCTTACCATTTGAAATAGAACTGAGAAAAAATATTTTTATAAAATAGTCGTACGAATAAAGTCGGACACAACTCGTGTAATAATTTTTTAGATAAAGCTGGACACAATTTGTGTATCTTCTTATTGATTTTTATATATCGGGACGCAATTCATGTGCAGCCCCATGATCAATGGCGTATAAAAGAATGGGGCACAGGAGTACGTATTTCATGCGTCCCAACCCAAAACAAATACTTAATCATATAGTTTTATTTTTTAAATCTGATACTTTTTTTCAATAAAAACTGTTAATGCATATGTGTTTTGTTATTAAGTTTTTAGATTTTAAGTATACTGTGAGCAATCAAAACAGTTTTTAGATAAATACACAAAACCAAACCAATCTTTTAATCACAAATTATATTTATGATTTATAATTTGTATACATAATATAAAATATATATTTTTTATGTTTGATTTTGATTTTAATTTTAATTTAAAAAACCAATAAAAATCAATAAAGACTTGAAAACCATAACTATAGTATGATTGCTTTGTAACTAATAGGTTTTGTTTTTATAAACTGCAATATTAAAGATATATTACTTACTTGGGAAATATTTTAGGTGGACGCATCGACCACGCACATCATTATAATAATCCTTACAGGGCGTTAGAGGAAACGCTTGTCCTGGAATCCACGCTGGAAGCCATCATGTCTAAAGTAGACTTGACAGATACACTAATCGTTGTTACATCAGATCATTCGCATGTAATGACAATGGGAGGCTTGGCAACCCCTCGTGGCAACGACATATTGGGTATGTACAATTTTGTCCCTACTCAATATTGTGCTACACTAAGCAATATTTTATATTATTTTATTTTCAAATCACTAGTCACAACTAGTATGCTAAATGCTTTACATTAGTTCGATTGATTAGATTATTAACTAAAATTATTATTGAAACTAAATTCAACTTCTAAATTACTTCTATTTAGTCACTATATATTTATTGACGAAATAAAATATATCAAAATTTTAATGATAAAAAATATAAAAAGTGCAAAATAAACTTTTTTAGAAAAGATTCCTAAATTCCTACTCAATATACCCATTTAATCTGATTAAATCAATTTTGTTAGGACGTATAAATTGGTGTAACAATATTAGTAAAAGTTACAAGCTAAAAATTAAAGTATTTTTTTTTTTTTTACAATAAATAGAATGTACGTATTCGTGCGGAAGTTTAAAGTAGTTTCTAGTCTTTTCCCTAAAAACCATTTACTACGATACTAAAACCAAATAAACATTATATCACGTTCAAATAAATTGCGTATACCGTACAAAAAAAAAAAAATATATTATATATTCGTATTACTTAAAAAAAAAATTTAAAAGACTAAATTGAATTCAAAATAACAGTAAAAAAAACATATCTTTCTGAATTTAATTATAAATATTTAAATACAATCATGGCACTTTTCTAACGACTCTTATTGTTTTGAAGTCGTAAATTTGTAACTGATTTTTATTTTTTTAAGTTTGTATATTACACAATTACCAAAATTAAATTATTGCTTTCTTGAACAATAATTTGTCAATATTTATATTTTAAATTATAATTTTTTCATATTGCTATTCTATTTTATGAGATACTTGGTTAAATAACTAGGTCTTCCACTTTTTTTTTTAATAATAACTTATTTTTATATTACTATATTATATTTTTCTGGTAAAATGTTGGGATGTATTATAAAATCAATGTATATTTTAGCAAAGAAAAAGTTTAAGTATTTATGTAAATATTACTAAAATATTTGTTACAAACCTGATTGACATAATACAATACAATAATAATTAATCAAGACTAATTGTATATTACAAAGTTTAAATTAAAAAAAATAATAATAATAATAATAATCATCTAAAGCTGACTTACATAGTTATTAATTCATTATATTTATTTATGTATATTGTATATTATATTTTAATGTAAAATATTTTTCCAGTATAAAATATTGTAATAAATGATTTAAATTATTAGCTATATATGTGTACGATACGTACACACTTTACACTTATTACAACAACAAGTCGACAAAATATATGCTAAAATTAAAATATTTTTATATATTTAAAAAATTCTACAGTTTGTAAATATATTTATTTATGTTTTAAAATAATTTTATTTATTTATTTACATTTAAAAAAACTTAAATGCGAAGTGGAAGAACTAACAAGCGATGGTAGTTCAGCGTGAATTTTTGTGCTTATAAAACTTATTAAATTAAGTCTCAAAGCCATTATTGCCTAAAGAACTGGATATTTCCGGGGATAACATTTATTAAGAGGTTATGAATGATAAGATTAACTTCGTAATATTATAATTAAATAAAATTTAATATTTTAATTTCAGTGTTTTCATATTTTCAATAAAAATGTCATGCATAAGACTGACATAGAACACATAGTATATTATATCGGTATACAGAGAAATATTGATAATATATTTCGAAATTTTAGTAGATTAAAAACTACCAAATAACCACTTGGTGACGGAGTGATAACAATCAATTACTAAATTTACATATTACATCAAGAATAGTTTACACTTCATATCTAGTTGAATTCAAACAATATATCTTACCGAGTTTATGTTTGTTGATCACATAAGTTATCTTAATATAATAAGCTTCACTGTAGAAATTTTAAAACTAGAATATTATCATAACTTACAATATAACCGTTCTTCAATGTTATGGGTTTTCATTTAATTCTGCACAATAGGCGTAATGCTATTTCGAATATTTTTCATTGGCCTAAAAAAATGGATGTCGAAGCATAATAGTTATCATAAAAATACATCGATATAAAAGTATATGTAGTTATACATCATATTATACATAATTTTTATGGGTTGTATTATAGTACATAGATGTATAAAGTTGAAAGTTGAATGTCTTTTTTTATGTTTACTGGTTTTTCATTTCCTACTTTCTGTTATGACATAAACGAGTTTATAAATGCGTACATTTTACATATGAGAAGATCTGACGAAGTAAAACAACATAAGAATTGTATGACAGTTTCATCGTCTTTCATCCCTTCGTGACACAATATAAAATATAGCTATATAGTAGAGTGTAAAATAAATAAAATCGTCATATCTCTCGTTTTGTTTTGTTTTTTGCTTTTTTTTATTATTATTATTGTGTATATATGTTTATGTATATATATATATATATATATATTTTATACACAAACAAGAAACCAAATAATCCGTACAACGAACGCAGAGTTCACATTACTTTAACTTTAAAGCAAAGTTATACATAATATTAACGAGAACTACAATTTATATAAACGTTTAAATTCGTCATTAGCTCAGGAACACATATAATATTTATACGTCGTTTAGAAACTCATGAACAATACATTTTCAATTGATATTCGTTATCATGTAGTGTAATGTAATGTCAATAGTATGTATAAATATTCTATCATAGACTGTTCCCTTCGTTCACAATATGTTGAATTACGTATATATATCAATACCTATGCACTTACTGATACTAGAATTTCACGATCACTGTAAATACATGTATAATCTATTAATTATATTGTATATAGCTAAATTACTCGGCTTAGCTTATGTATACTTTGGTACACACCATTTGCGTCCGAAATTATTATCAGTAGACGAATTGTGTCTCGCAAAAAAAGATTCAAAAAGTTAAAAGGGTCTTAGCCTATTTTCGTCCTGAAATATCTTTTTTGCGTCCCAAAACTCACGATATAATCGATATCAATATATTAATAAAAAAAAATTGATGTTTATTTTAATTTATAATATAAAAGTTTCATAACATCATATCATTCATATCAATATACAGAATGCATATGTTTTATATTTTGTCATGATAATAATAATTATAGTTAATTTAAAATTTAGTATAATATAATTTAAAAAAATAAAAAAACCATATGTTTTAAATTTTGTCATGATAAAACGAATCGTACTGAATAAATGAATAAAAGTAAAATATGAAAGTATAATAAGAATAAAAAACAAAAGATTATCGACGTAATTTGAAATTTCTATATCTTATCGAATCTAACAATAACAAGTTGTTTTATATATACATGTTTCCCTACCATTTTCACATCACATAATACCCACATACAGGTTATAAATACAATATATCATAATTTACCTAATTATTATGATATACCACGATTGATATAGATTAGTTGTATCTACAAACTGAACTGTTCTCATTCCACAAATAGTGAGGCTTATTATACAGTATAGTTTATAAGCTATTGATTTTAGTGATTTTAGTAGATAAAATCGGTAATAATTATACAGCCAATTTGCGTCCTCAAAACGGGACACAAGTTACCAGTCAAATTTACTAGGTACCTGAAAAATATGTATACCTTTTTTCAGGACACAAGTAACATGCAGCCGTATGTTTTTGTCGATAAATTTCTCGAAACAATTTATATCTATATGCTACACGGCCGGTATGGGTATAAGTTGCAGGTAACTGGAAATACGCGCGGCCAGCCGCATAATATATATTAATTAACGAATAATTAAAATAATTAATTAGTCTACTTAAACGCAACATTTTTTAAAATCCTTTTTCATTACACGGTGAAAGTATTAGAGGAATCACTATTCCAAATTTCAAATTCATAAGTTGAGTAGTTTTCGAGATACAGCGATCAGTGAGTGAAGTATTTGGATTTTATAATATATTGTATAAATTTAGATACAGATTTATTATTATTATTTATTATTATTGTAACGATATACATGTTATTAATCCATAAATTATGCCACACTCTGCAATTTTTGCTGGTCAAAAGAACACGGGAATGTAAAGTACGAGGATATACAAATCATTGATATAGCTAATCAATCGAATTTTGTTAGTGAAATAGAGACAATAGTCATCTCTATATTTTTAAGTAAAATTTTTAATTTGATTAACTATAAATAAAATAACCTACATTATATATAAATTAGAATATATTCAATCGTTTCAACGTGTTCTCCGCTACACCTGTGATCTTCAAAATAGTCTCAAATGAGACTATTACTCAAATGATAGTGTACTGTATAATTATATTAATATTTAGTCATATGAATAAACCTTTTAATAAGTTGCTATAATATCGTTTTTATTATGTTAATTTATGAACGCAGGTCATAAGTTTCTAGGACCTGTAAAATATAACTGAATCATTGTATCCCAAAAATTGCAATAAAATAACGTATTACATTACAAAGCTAAAGTCACCTCCTAAATTGTATTAAATTTCCTAAATAATTAGTTTTTATAATACAAAAAAATAGTAATGATGTTGAAATGTTATATTATATATTCATATTAGAAATAAGTTTATATTGTTTGTATTTAATTGAATGGTTGAAATCCCATTAAGAAAAGTAAACATAGAAATAATTTGGTATAAAATTTAAAAAAGGATTAAAATAAAAAAATGGAAAATTATTATGACTATTGACATGGAAATAATATGTATGCATAAATATATCGTATTTGCTTAACAAATACCATTAAAATAATGAACATCTAACACAACGCAATTTGTTTTTTATTTATTTTGACGTCCATGTTTAGTGATGACTTGTTTGACGAAAAACAACTTAAAACTTTAAAGAAAACGTACAATAAATAATAATCCAAAAGCAATGGCATGTACAATTCTTTGTATGAACGTTATTTTTTTCCAAACTATGTTATATCTATTTAACATAACCCTAGCTTAATCGAAACTCACCGGAAA